TTCCATAGCAATCTGGAGGGCTTCCTGGAGGAGTTTGCAGATATTGCCAAGGAGGATCAGATCAAAAAGCTTCATGATATGCTGGGCCCACATATGCTGAGGCGGCTGAAGGCCGATGTCTTCAAGAACATGCCTTCCAAGACAGAGCTTATTGTCAGAGTGGAACTAAGCCCGATGCAGAAGTGAGTGTGGGAGGGTGGTCCTCTTCCTCTTGGATTGGGACTAAGTACCCTTTCGTTGAGCATGCTGCAGTTCATAAGGTCGAGTCTAATGCCTTCCTCCAATGTTGCGTGATTCAGAGGGCTGGTTTAGAATTAAGTTTTTGCTATTCTCACTTTCCTGTAGTGAGTCTTGTCTCTGTTGCTGGTCAGCTGCATAAAACCAGACCCTTACTTGTCCTCCTCGGATCATGAGTGGGTTGAGAATATAGAGAGCTTTGCCTCAGTATGTAATTCTAAGGTAGATGCTGAATGTCTGCAGCAGGAATATCCTTTGTGAAAAGAAGGGGTGAGCAATGTGAATGTGTTATTATGCTTACAGGAAGTACTACAAATATATCCTGACAAGGAATTTTGAAGCACTGAATGCCCGGGGTGGTGGCAACCAAGTTTCTCTGCTCAATGTGGTTATGGATTTGAAAAAATGCTGCAACCACCCATATCTCTTCCCTGTAGCTGCTATGGTAGGTTCCTGTTCCCTTGGAATCTGTTTGAAAATACATGCACGTGAGTGAGCTTGTGTGCATGCACAACCCAAAGCTTGAAGTTGTTCTAGATACTAAGAGCTTTTATTTCTCACTGTGTTTCCCCATTCATAGAGCTTTGGGGGCTTTCCTGTAGGCAAAGTTACAGGAATTCTGTAATTGCAAAAAGCACCAAAGGAGCATAGGTAATTTTAACTAGAATTGAAACAATACATAATACTTCTGGCACACCTAGAGCATAAGCAAAGTGGTCTGCATTTGTCAGTAATAACCTAGCTAAAACCAGTAATTTGAAGAATTCCCCTACTCTTCCTCTTACCTCCTCCTTACATCCAGGAAGCACCAAAGATGCCCAATGGAATGTATGATGGCAGCGCTCTAATCCGGGCCTCTGGGAAACTGCTTCTGCTCCAGAAAATGTTGAAGAATCTCAAGGAGGGGGGCCACAGGGTGCTGATTTTCTCTCAGGTAATAAAGAGCAGCAGTATCTTCCTGTAAGTAGGAAATTGTCAGTATGGGGGTAGCCACGCTGATAGTGATAGGTAAGCTGAATACATGTTGTGCATCTATGCTTTAGTTAATTTCTTTGCCCTTTTTTAGATGACTAAGATGTTGGACCTTTTGGAAGATTTCCTGGAGCATGAAGGATATAAGTATGAGAGAATTGATGGTGGAATCACAGGAAATATGCGCCAAGAAGCCATTGATCGCTTCAACGGTACGGATGTGTTGGAGTGTATTACGAATTCAGTTAGCTTGGCATGAACTGGGATTCTTCTTTCCACCTCAGCTTTGCTAATATACAGTCTGTCCTTTATAATAACCTTAATCTACCTGGAGAACTTAAGAAAATGAAAATCTGGGTATTCCAAACCTAAGACCTCAAACTGTGCCAATTTCTCTTCTTTCTAGCTCCTGGTGCCCCACAGTTCTGTTTCCTACTTTCTACCAGAGCTGGGGGCCTCGGCATCAACCTTGCCACTGCAGACACTGTGATAATCTATGACTCTGACTGGAATCCACACAATGACATTCAGGTAGGCTTGAACAACAAGATCAGCCTCTCCAAATTAAATCTCAGAAGACAATAGCTCTCTTCAGCTATTTGTTTTCGATATACAGTTAGTACCAGTGTATGATGGGAGGAAGGGCCCTAAGCCTTACCCCTCAGCAATGGTCTGAGCAGGAGAGTCCTCTCTGTCCATGGAGGCCAATGCACATAATCCAGGATCCTGATTTTCCAGCACTCTGGAGCTTTTCAGGAGCTCTGATGCAGCCACTCTCTTGGATAAAAGGTAATGTTTTGAGGGAGAATAGAAGATGAAAGAGATGTGGGTCATGGAAAGAAAAGAATTGAAAGAGGGAGGAAAATTTAATGAGTTGTGGAAGACCTTGTTTCATATCCCCCCTGCCCCCTTTTCTTTCAGGCCTTCAGCCGTGCTCACCGAATTGGGCAAAATAAGAAGGTGATGATTTATCGCTTTGTCACCCGAGCCTCTGTGGAAGAGCGAATCACACAAGTGGCTAAGAAGAAAATGATGTTGACACATCTGGTTGTGCGGCCAGGGTTGGGCTCCAAGACTGGTTCCATGTCAAAACAGGAACTGGACGACATTCTCAAATTTGGTACTGAAGAACTTTTCAAAGATGAGGCTACAGAAGGTGGTAAGAACCTACTTAATGTTGCACAGAGTGATCAATTTGGGGATTGCTTTTGCTCGGTCTCCGCTCACCTACTCCGTACCACTTCAGTTACAGCCAAGTCTGTGCTTCCCTTTAGGTGATAACAAAGAAGGTGAAGACAGCAGTGTCATTCATTATGATGATAAGGCAATCGAACGTTTGCTGGACCGGAACCAGGATGAGACAGAGGATGCTGAGCTTCAGGGCATGAATGAATACCTGAGTTCCTTCAAGGTGGCCCAGTATGTGGTGCGTGAAGAGGAAATGGGGGTAAGTGTGAACTGACTGCTTCAACTGTCATCTTCATTGATGCAGGAATTACGTCTACTTACAGAAGAGTAAGATACATTTTAATTCACTGGGGATTCCCTTTGAATAAATAAGCATAGCATTGAGTTGTTTTTAATTTGTGGATGTTTCTCTGGAAGGAGGAGGAAGAAGTTGAACGGGAGATTATCAAGCAAGAGGAGTCAGTAGATCCAGATTATTGGGAAAAACTACTTCGTCACCATTACGAGCAGCAGCAGGAAGACCTGGCCAGGAATCTAGGGAAGGGCAAGCGCATCCGCAAGCAGGTCAACTACAATGATGGTTCACAGGAAGACAGAGGTAGTTGTGTGTGTGTGCGTGCGCCCTTGTGCACACATCTGAGTGTGTGTTAAAGAAAAAGTGGAGTAGGGTGGTTTAAAGGGAGCAGACTTTACTTACCTGGATATTTTGTCTCTCCAGACTGGCAAGATGATCAGTCAGATAATCAGTCTGATTATTCTGTGGCCTCTGAAGAAGGGGATGAAGATTTTGATGAAAGGTCGGAAGGTATGTTACGATGATATACTGTGCACTTCATTATGTATATGATTCTAGAAAAAAATCAAAAGGAAGATGAGAGGAAGTAAAGCCAGTGTGGTGATTAGCATGTCAGATTAGAAGTGGTAAAGTCTAGATTCAAATTCTCATTCAGCAGTGAATTACCTTGGATGGAACTATATTGCCATCTCAGCCACAGCTGAGCCAGTGTGGTGAGGGTTGGACTGGGGGTCTGGGAGATCTGAGTTCTAGTCTCCACTTGTCCATCAATTTGGGCCAGTCACAGACTCTCATTTCCATCTGTCTCGGAGGGTGGTTGTTGTGAAGATGAAATGAAGCTGTGCAAAGCCACCTTGGGTTCCTCACAAGAGGAGATAATTGCAATCTAATAATAGCAGCAGCAACAGTAAGAACCTACTTCAGACAGTCGTGAGGACAAAAGGTGCTAATATGCACACTCTTTTGGCCACCTTGGAGTAAAGACAGGCTACACATAGAATGAATAAAAGAAATAGGATGGTAGTTCTTATGACTGTACCAGTCTCCATGTGGTTTTGATGTATTTTCCTGAGATTAATTGTGCTGTTCTTACCAATATTTTCATCTTGCCAGCTGCTCGCCGGCCTAGCCGCAAAGGCCTAAGGAATGATAAAGATAAGCCTCTTCCTCCGCTTCTTGCCCGTGTGGGAGGCAACATTGAGGTAATTGTGTTCTGCTCTAAAGAGTTTTAAATTGAAGGGTGGCATAGAACTTTTCTGAATAAAATTAATTCCCTGGAGGATGACCGTGTTTGCTTATGCAGTGCAAGCTGAATCTTGAGAGTTTTCTCCCCTGGCTCTCCCTTTGCAGGTACTGGGCTTCAACGCTCGCCAGCGAAAGGCCTTCCTTAATGCCATCATGCGTTATGGGATGCCCCCTCAGGATGCCTTTACTACCCAGTGGTTGGTGCGGGACCTCCGGGGAAAGTCGGAAAAGGAATTCAAGTGAGTCTGTGCAAGGATGGGGGCAGAAAAGAGCAGTGTGGAACGATGGCAACAATTTCTGCTGACTCATAAATGACAGTAGGAAAGTGACATGACAGAATGTCACAAACAGACCCTGAGGAGGCAGCTGGTGACGGGGCAAAGCAGGATTGCTGCTCAACAGCTTCCACTAGACACCTTTGGCTGTTGCTGGGGGAGAACTTGAATGTGATGGTGGTGCTGCTACAGCCTCCAAATGGCTTGATGGAAGCTGGCACTGAGGCTTTTCCCATTTCCCATCCACAGAGCCTATGTCTCTCTCTTCATGCGTCACTTGTGTGAGCCAGGAGCAGATGGTGCAGAAACGTTTGCTGATGGGGTCCCGCGTGAGGGTCTGTCCCGACAGCATGTTCTCACTCGAATAGGAGTCATGTCTCTCATACGAAAGAAGGTGAGTACTAAGGCAACTTTCCCATCTATTTTGTTAGAGACAAGGAAGCTATTAGATAGTTCTAAGCCCCTGATATGCATGCAATGGACTATTCCTTTTCCTTCCACCTTTTCTTTAGAGTCCAGAAACTTAAAGATGGGTTTCATTAGTTCTGATCTGAAGGAACAAAAGGGCTTTTGTTGTTTGTTGTCTTCTTAGGTGCAAGAATTTGAACATGTGAATGGTCGCTGGAGTATGCCTGAACTAGCAGAGATAGAGGAGAACAAGAAGCTTTTGCAGCCCAGCTCACCTTCTCCCAAAACCCCAACTCCATCTACACCTGGAGATACACAGCCCAATACCCCTGCCCCTGTTCCTCCACTTGGTGAGAGCCTTAAGTTTATCTCAGTAAGCCCCGTCCAGCCTTCAGTTCCAGCTCCTCTTGCCAAAGCTGTGCTAGAGGACTTGGGGCGGACGTAGATTGAACAATCTCTTAAATTAGGAGGGCTTCTTTGAGTGTTGAGCTGTCCTCAAAGGCGCAAGAGGACATCCATATGGGATGTTTGTATGGGAAGGGAAGGGTTGGTTCTGCCACAGATCAGTGTCTGGAGCACACAGATTAGGTATGGAGAAACCCAAGGACCCTGAGGGTTTGAGAGGAAGAGTTTACTGATTCCTCCCACCCCCCCTCCCCTGTGCTAATTATAGAGGAGGGAGTGAAAGTGGAAGAGGGAGCTTGTACCAAGGATCAAGGGGAAACCATAGAACCTGAGAAGGAGGCCAGTCCCTCTGCTGCTGCAGCATCAGAAAATGACATCCCAGTTGAGGTGAGTGTCAAGTATTGTTACAAATAACATTCCTTCTCTTTGTCTTCTAACACTCTGTTGATGCTGGAAGTTCTCCAGTTTTCAGGTGTTGATCTCTCCTGGCCATATTGTGACCATTGCCTTTATACGAGAGAATATGGCTATCATTCAGCAGTCAATAGTGTGCAGAGATGAAGAGAGCTAATTCTTGTGGCTGGACTTCCTATAAAATCTTACAATGCAGTGTTGGTTTTAATTTCTTAGACACCATTGAGCTAAACTTTTTTCCTTTTCCCATCTCATCCCCTCCCTCTTAGCAGGGTCCACCTCCAACAGAGACCCAGTCACAGGAGGTTAAATCCCCTGTGAATGCTGTTGAAACTGAAGAGAAGAAACCAGATGAACCAGAAGTAAAAGAGGAGCCTATGGAAACAGAAAGTAAAGGTATGAATGTACCTCATAGATGTTTGTTACATGGTGGAGAGGTATGGAAACTAGTTCCTTGGTGTACATGCACATGCCTGTTAAAATAAACCTGGTTTGGGAGTATTTAGCTACTAATCACAGATCTGAATGTTGTTTATTGTTGTAATTATTTCACACCTTTTTCCCACAAGGAACCCAAGGTGGCTTACACAATCTTCGTCCCCTCTATTTCATCCTCTCAATAATCCTGTGGAGTGAGAAAGTCCATGAGTGACTCAAAACCACCCAGTGGCATGACTGAGTGGGGTATAGAATCCAGTCTCTTGAATCGCAGTCCAGCACCCTAAGCACAGCGCCACAATGTCTTTCAAACTGGATGTCCTTTTTTTAAAAATATTTCCTACAGCTGATATAGAGAAGGTAGAAGAGAAGACTCCTGCAGAGCCACCTGCTGAGCCCCCAACAATCAACCTCGATGAGAAAGGTAAGTATGCTAAGGCATGGCTGGTACACAAGAATGGTCTTTGATATCCATAGTGACAACGTCTTTGGCAAAGTTTGCTCAGCAGTGAGTTCTTCTCCTTTCTTTGCAGAAGAGAAGAAAGAAGATGAAAAGAAAGATGTCGTGATGCTGCAGAATGGGGAAACACCTAAAGACCCTACTGATGATCGGCACAAAAAGGCCATGAAGCAGCGATTCATGTTTAACATTGCAGATGGAGGCTTCACTGGTACTTTGGGGACCAGAGAGCAGCTGTTTGGGATGTGTGGGCTCCTCAGCTGTAGGAAATATTTTTTGACGTAATTTCCTTTTTTGCAGAGTTGCATTCCTTGTGGCAAAATGAAGAGCGAGCAGCTACTGTGACCAAGAAGACCTATGAGATCTGGCACCGGCGCCATGACTACTGGCTTCTGGCAGGCATCATTAAGTATCCTTTGCTTAGAATCTTCAGGGTTAGCCTAACCCTAGATTATTAACATGGCTTCGTGCAAAGGATTTCCCACACGTTTGCCGCATCTGCTTGTTTCTTTATATCCTGCTCCTCCAAGTAGCATAGGATACAGTTCATAAGATTACCTTGCTTTATTCTTACAACAAGTTTCACAAGAAAATGGAATGAAATAATAATAATAAATAATGCTAAGAGTGCAACTGTGTTACACAGCACGGTTATCAGATTTAGATACAGGTCTTCCCAGATTTAAAACCAGCACTCTTAATGTGAATGAATTCTGCACATTGTGGTTCATGTACTCTGTTGTATGTGTATGCACTCTGTTTCTGGCATGAATGTAGCATTGTGTGTTTGTCTGCTGGCTTCTGGTGGATATCCATATGCCCTGGTTTACCCTCTTGCTGCAATTGTTGCTGTTCCTATGTCCTCATCAACAACTGTGACAATTTTTTCAGCACTGGCTTACCCACTGCTGCCCAACTGGATCCAAGCAAAAGTGCTGCAGCTCCAGGAGGCTGTGCTTCAGCAAATTTTGCAACAGTGGCTTGGCAGGAGGAGCAGTGAAATTAGGAGAAATTACGTAGGCCAGTGAGCATCTGCGGGAAGTGTTAAGGCTTGATTAGTGGATCTAAGGCACTGGGAACTGACTTAAGCTCTGGACTATGACTTGCATATTTGAAAAAGCTACCTGTTTTGAGGGTGCAAATAAGACCGTATGCTAGAAAGATATATTTTCCTTTGCTGTATAAAAAGAACGCTGTCCCAGTACTATCCCTCTCACCACAGTACCATACACTTTCCAAGTTATTTCTTCTGAGCTTGGTCAATTTCAGCCATGGTTACGCTCGGTGGCAAGATATCCAGAATGATCCTCGTTACGCCATCCTCAATGAACCATTCAAGGGTGAAATGAACAGAGGCAACTTCCTGGAAATAAAGAACAAATTCTTAGCCCGGAGGTTTAAGGTGAGAACCTCTTGGTAATAAAAACTCCTGGTTGTATGGTACAAAACTTTGGATTTCCTTTGGCAATGTAATTTATTCCTCTTCTTTTAGGCACCTGATAATTAGGAAGAGAATATTCTGTGTAGATTGAGGTGAAAGCTGTAGCAAGTAAATGAGATTTTCCTCAATTTATTTTACGGGGCATTGTGGTAGTGCTCCTAGCCAGTACTTGAAATAAGTCAAAAGGCAGAATGCTCACATTCTAGTCTGGTAAGAATGGGATTGGGGGTCCTGTAGATCCCAGGAACACAGTGGTCATTCTCACAGCCCAAATAGTTTTGAGTCGAAAGGACCTTGAAGCAGGATTTTGTGTGTTCTAAAATGTTCCAGATACGATGTGGTGGTCACACTGCAAAAGTCATAAGGGTGAATTCTTCATTTAGCATTTCTGCAGCAGCTAACACTGGTCCTTCTCAATGTTGGACATGGTTATCCTTTAAGCTAGAGTGGATTGTACCTTAAGATAAAGAGTGGAGTTGGGACAATATAAGGCCAGTAAGTCCACATAGGTTTGCCGTAAACATTTTGTGGTGGTATACACTTTGAGGGAGCTGAAGTAGTTTTTTACAAACATGGGTTTGAATGTGCCGCATAACAAGACTTCTCCCACATGCATCGGGAACATCCCATTCCAGAACTGTTTAGAAATCTTTTTTGGCACTGTGGAAACTGGAAGTAAAATCACCAGCTTAGGCAAGTATTTCTTCTTTGGTGATGATATAATAATAAATAATGGACTGAGAGAAAACTGTGTAGTCTGAGCCTGTCTTAGAATGGAAAAAGATCTCTGGTGCAGCACTTTGAAGAGATGCTCAGGCTCTTCTGCCTTAAACCCCGTTTTCCAGCTTCTGGAACAGGCACTGGTAATTGAAGAGCAGCTACGAAGAGCTGCCTACCTGAACATGTCTGAAGATCCATCCCATCCTTCTATGGCCCTGAACACACGTTTTGCTGAGGTGGAGTGCCTAGCTGAGAGCCACCAGCATCTATCCAAGGAGTCTATGGCTGGGAATAAACCAGCTAATGCGGTGCTTCACAAAGGTGAGAAGTCAGCAGGAGACCATCCTGAGCGAGGGCAGATTTGTAATGTATGCCACTGGCCCCTTCCCCCCATCTCCACCCCACACACACTGCCCCATTTCCCTCTACATGTGTGTACTTTTTTTCTCTCTGAGGGAGGAAAGCAGCTAGTATTGGTGGTGGTGGGGAAGCCCCTCTTTCAGATCAGGAAGGCAGATCCCAACTTTAACATGAGGAGACAAAGCCTTACTGCCTTGCTCCCTTTATGTCTTGTGTTGGCTGGGTGACACTGACTTCCGGAGGACTTGGTAGTCTTGCAAATATGCAAAGCAACACAAAGTAATAACCCCCCGCCCCCAAAGACAACACTTTGTTACAAGGAGCACATACAGCAGGAGTTGAAATGAATTTTGCTATCCAGTTAACCTCTGATCCAACCTACCCTGTTTAAAGAATCTGAAGGGGAAATTTTTCTCTCCAGCTGCTTCCAGCAAGTGTGGCAGTAGAGTACATTGCGGTTGCTTCCATCACAAAGATACCTTCACCAGGACAGCCTGTTTTTCACACTATATTTCTCCCCTTCACATTCCTTACCTGAAAGGGGGAAGTGGAATAGCCTCCCTTCAGTGAAAGAGCAGAAACAGCTCTGGAAATAAAGTCCAGGCAACACCCAAGGAAGTCCCTAGTGCAGAACTTGTTCTCAGGAAGTAAAATCCCATGACAAGTGACTGATAAGAAAAGGAGTCCAAGAGGGTTTGGAACTTTTAAAAAGGAAAATTCTTAAGTTACAGTTTCAACAAGGAAAAGGAGGAGAAGACAACAGAAGAAGCCCGCGTGGCTTTACAAAATATTTAGAGGTGATCTGAAAACAAAAAAGGACATGTACAAGTGGAAGGAAAGCCAGGTTACAAAGGAAGAATACAGACAGGTAGCATGGAATTACAGGGATAGTGTCAGGAAGGTTAAAAAGCTAGAAATGAACTATCAAGGGATGCTAAAAGCAACAGAAAACCTTCAGATATGTCCAGAATAAAAGACAGATGGAAGAAATGGGGGTTCAACTACTCAGTGTGGATGGCAAGGTGATAACAGATGACAAAGAAAAGGCAGAAGTGCTTGATTCCTACTTTGGCTCAGACTTCTCCCAAAAGATTTGTTACCTTCCTGATGGAGGGGAAGTACAAGGTGAAGGAGCAAGATGGAAGCTCAAGATTGATAGGTGAACCATCAAGGAACACCTAACTTCTTTGAGTTCAAATCTCCAGGGACTGAAATTCCATCCTAGAGTCAAAGGAGCTGGAAGAAGAACTCTCAGAACCACTGTCTGTTATCTTTGAG